ACAAATTCATTGTCTGACACACTCTAATGCTTTCAGGGTCACTGTGACCACCCCCCAAACTCAACTTCCTGGGGCTTTGTTTTAGTTTCTGGTTATCTTGCACCTGAGTACCTGCAGGCAGCCTTGCATAGCCCAAGGTTACAAGAAGTTAAAGCCCATTTAGTTTCCTTTTGAAGTCATCTCTGTAAGCTAACTTTGTTAACAGGAATTGGTGAGGGTTACAGGAATTGGTGAGGGTTACAGGAATTGGTGAGGGTTATAGGAATTTTATCTAGCAAACAGCAAGAAACAGCCACTATTTACTAAACAACCTAGAACAGTGGTGAGTATACATTTTTACACAACAGAAAACAAAAGATTTACATTTATAGTCTAAAGTGTGAGTTGACCCATTACATTTCCTAGTGTGCACAAGACCTTGGGTTCAATCCAGGAAGCAGGGGACTGAAGGAGAGAGGATGGGAGGGATGGGGGAAGGGAAGGGAGGGGAGGGGAGGGGACGGAGGGGAGGGAGGAGAAGGGAAGAAAATACATGGGAGGCTGTGTGTAGGTTGCAGGCACATCCCATTCTGTATAAGGGACATGAACACCTTGGACTTTCTGTAGCATGTCCTGGAACCAGTTCCTGGTGGACACTGAGGCAATGTTGTACTCCACACAGCCCCCCGCTTCTCCCCTCATGATTCACTCATGGACTGCAAGCTGCCACTCTCCCCTGACCAACCCCAGAGACCTGTAGATCTGCGCATCTCACTTGCTCCCTGCCAGGTCTGCCCACCAGGTGGCTCTGTGCATTTGCAGAGCCTGGCCCTGCCAGGCACCAGCTGTCTCCAGCCTTTGGTGACCACAGAGGACACGGAGAAGCTATGCATTCATGTCCACACTTGACCTCTGCAAAGGTGGCCACCAGGCACATTTCTAGAAGTACAAGAGCTCTGGAAATGCGTGCACTTCTAACTTTAAGAGATGGCCAAATTGATCTCCAAAGTAAACCATCACTTATCATCCAACTATCTGATTACTTTTATCCTAGGTTAAGTAAATAAATACATAACAGGATTCTCACTGTAGCTTTTATTTAGGGATGGAAAGGATTTGAAAGGGGAATTTTGACAAGAAACATTCCTCGAGAAGCAGCTCCATTCCATCGCTTTTTAAGTAGGAGGGCCTGTTGGTAATAATTAACCATAGAGTGCCGGCTCATTCTCTTCCGTGAGCGCAGAGAACCTGGCCAAGAGGGTGAGCTGCGCACGCAAAGAAGCAGTGCTCCGCCAAGGGAGGAACTTTCACCCTGAAAATTAAGTTGGTGCCTTCTTGCCCGAAGACCTTAGAAGCCTCTCCCGGCAGCTTTTCGCCACAATCAGTTCCTAGCCTGTGCCCTGGTGGCCACCAGGCCTCCTGTCTCAACTGGGGACAAAGGCCCTCTAGGGCTCTACCCTCAGGGCTGATGGCACCCCTGCCCTTGGCTCAGGGCGCTGTGGGTCCCACGGCCATGCAGGCTGCGTGTGGACATTGGGCAGAAGCAGTGTGTGCAAGGACCTGCCGAGGAGGCTGGAGAGCGAACTGCAGAGGACTCCTTTGATAACCACTCAGATCTAAAGTCCTTTCAGTCTGGCTTGGTAGTGCACACCTCCAATCCCAGCTTTCTGGTAGGCTGAGGCAGGAGAATACCAAACTCAGGCTCAGCTCAGGTGGTTCAAGGACTCGGCATGACCCTGACTTAAAATTAAAAGGTAAATAAATACAAAGGGCTGGAGATCCAGGGAAAGGCGATGACTGTCCTGAGTAACAGCCTGCTGCAGCCGCCTGGCCTCGTGTTTACTAGGCCCTGGCTGCGTGAGCCAGACAAACACCTCACTGCCGAACTGCACCGAAACAGACTTCGGTGATGGCTGTGCACATTTGTAAGTAGACTCAGAGCCATTGGCTTGTGTATTTGATTTCTCTTTTCTTTTTTGGTACCAGAATTGAACTCTGGACCTCACATTTGCCAGGCAGGTGCCAGGCCGCTGAGCCATACCTCTGGCCCAAGCTATATATTTTAAGTGAGATAATGTGATGCTTTCCTATTTCCAGAATGCTGTTGAACAATTTTTAATGTTTAGAGTAAAAGATGACTTTATTTTAATAAGTGCGGTGGCAGAGTGCACCCAAGGCTCTTTTTTTTGTTTGAATGTGGGCCACACTGCGTGCCTCCTGCCCCAGCAGCACCCGTGTCTGGTGCGGGTCCAGGGTGCGCAGCTGTCACACTCCGCTCCTCACACCTGACCTGGAGTCACCAGGGAAAACAGAAGTAGCTGTCTTAGTTACTCTTCACTCGTTGCTAGACAAATACCTGACACCCAAAATGAAGGCAGGAAAGGTTTATTTAGCTCACAGTTACTGGAGGTTTCAGTCTACACTCAGCTGGCTCCAAGGCAGAGTGGCACACGCAGAGGGCAACCTTTCATGGTGGCAGCAAAGAGCAAGAGCGCCAGGGAGAGGTAGCAGCAGCTCAAGCAGCTAGCTTCTTTTCCCTCCTTACATTGTAATGCAAATTACCTGCCCCAGGGCAGGGGCAGCATCCACACCCACAGCAATCAATCACAAACTCCAGAAGCAGCCCCAAGACTGCATGAGGCTTGGGGGGGACACCTAGACACAAACCATAACAGTAGCTCACAGTAGCTAACAGCTGACCGTCCAACTGCCCTCAGCCTTTTTTAACAGCAAAACATCTGTAACTGCTCAGAAAGCACAGTGTGCATGTTTTTATATCCAAACTCTGCCTTAATTTGTGTGCACAACCTGTCTCATGCACTATGTAAGAACACTGTGCATAGTGTCAGTACTTTTTAATGCTGTGGCCTATTTTCTGACCAAGTGTGTACAGACAAATTCAGGTACGATGAGACCCAACATACTATTCATTCATTGAGGCTAGATTGTTCAATTTAAGGCCTTCACTCTGAGCTTCTTTGTGATTGGAAATATTACAGGTGGTTTAGTTTGCAGTGGTGGTCAGCCCTTGTTATCCTTGGGCAAGTTGTTCTCTGCTGAAGTTCATCACTGGAAGAAGTTTAATCCTGGTTGGATCTTTCTCTTGTCCCAGCAAAATGTAACTGGGGAAAGAAATCTTTAGCCCATGCAGTGATACCCATGCTAGCAGCAGCACAGTCCAGTGGTGAGAGGCCGTTGAGCCCTGCGGTCTCCTTGGGTCCACTCTGGAGGGGTCCCAGGCTTCTGTTCCACAAGCCAGGGGAGTGACAGGACCAACACTGAGGCTTCGACAGGCAGCTGCAGGGACGCTGTGCCCAGTACCCTGCACAGTGTGCTTTCAGTCACACTGGGTACTGCCAAAAAAAGATTATTTACTATTACGAGCTGAATGCTCGTGTGCCCCTAAAGTTAATACTGGAAATGCTCACTCCTGAGCATGGCATTGGAGGTGGAGCCTTTGGGGTGATCAAGTCATGGGGCCAGAACTCTCAAATGGACTCACTTTATAAAAGACCCAACGAGGGATCTCAGTCCTTCTACCATGGAAGCTACAGGGAAGACTTGGCTGTCTGAGGACACTGAGTCTGTCAGTGCCTTTACCTTGGATTTCTCAGCCTCCAAAATGTGCAGAATAAATTTATGTTGCTTATAGGTTGCCCACTCTGTGGTATTTGTTATAGTGTCCCAGATGGACTTGACAGTCACTGTGAATATGCTGCATCCAGGAACATCTTCCTGTACTGCTCCTTTCCTCCCCAATACAGATGGGTAGTCTTGGTGTCCCAAGCCAGTTAGTGAGCCACTGTGTGCAGGGCATGCACAGCTGTAAGTGCAGCTGTGCCCTTGTCCTTGCTTTGGGTTTCTAGAACAACTACCAACTATCAACACTACCTCGTAAGTGTTGATTTGGAGGTGACTGGAGGACTGTGATGCATGGTGTGGGGCTCTGATGAAGACCCTGGGCTGTTGACAGGTGGCCAAGAAGCAGAAAGGGAAACACTGCCACGCTATGGGGCAGCCTCTTTCCATGACAACACACAATCCTGAGAACTAATTTAGTCCTATAAGGCCCACACCCCACGGAAGCCCCTCTCCTTTCACAAAGGTGGAACCCCGTAACCACATGTGCACCCATTCTGTCCGGTCTCTTGTTGAGACCAACCCTCTGGCAGTGAGCCCTTCGGGGGACAGCCCTCTTCAGGGGGATACACACACCCCACTCTTGTCAGGGGCCTTCTGGTAGATGGGCTTGCACCTGGCTTTGATGTGGGCAGGTTTTCCCAAGTGGGGACAAAGAGGAAGAGAAGATGGGATTGGCAGAACAGGAGGGAATCAATCAAGGGTCCTTAGTTTGAACAGGACAGTGGAAGAATCTGGAAAGAGAGAACCAGCATGATAACTATCAGTCCCTATTTGGAAAAATACGATTTTGAAGTATAAATACAGAAATTAATGCCAGGTCAAATCTTCCTGGCTTGCCAGCCTGCCTTGTCAGTAAGGGTTCTCTGGGGACCAAGGGTGTCTGAGGTAATAGATTTATTCTCACCGTTCTAACTGTAATGATTGCTCATGGTCATACTCTAAGCCATGCTGACAAGTGGAAGGTGGACGCAATCTCCTGTCCCGCCCTGCCATAGGGGCTGCTGACTTCCTCACAACTTACCAGGCATCTTCTGTGAAAATCAAAGAGGAGGTGGCACTTCAAAATGTCCCAAGGCACTTGGCTCCTTGCTGTCTTTGTAAGCCACACCACGTTAAAGCCGTCTTCTGCTGTGCGTCTAGAGGATGAATTCTCTGTGTGGCCAAGAGGTGTGGCACAGGTTGTGGTTGTTTGGCCTCTGGAGCAGCTGAGTGAGCTAGGTGAGCCCTCGGGAACAGGCAGAGGTCCTTCTTCTGTGAGCCAGGCAAGGCCACGTCCTCCTCTGCAGGGAGCCTCCAGAGATGCCACGGCATTAAGAAGCGTTTTACTCTAAGCACAATGCGCGTGCGTTCCTAGAGTGACTCTTTCCCTCTTTGGACAGGAATCTTCGCTTACATGAACTACAGAGTCCCCCGCACGAGGAAGGAGATTTTTGAAACCCTCATCAAGGGGCTGCAGCGTCTTGAGTACAGAGGCTATGATTCAGCAGGTGGGTGCCACAGGTGGCCTCGTGGCAAGGGAGCTGGTGTGGACATCCGTGGGCTCTTCTCTCACCCATTTTGTTATAGTGGCACTTTTTACAACTGGGGTTTTTTCTGGTCATTCTTAATGTTTCTTTTCAATATAAAAATAACACTTGTCCGTTAAATGAATTTGAAAATTACAGAAAAGTACAGACACCTATAGAAAAAAAGTGAAAGTTTAAAAGAAATCTCTGTCAGAGAGATCCCACATCGTACTTCCTATTGCAGCTCTTGTTCTCCAGTATTGCTGATCAAAAGATAATGACGTAGTTTTCAGCAAATCTATTTTGAAAGAAGCCAGAACTGTTGCGATACTTCACAGTGAGCCAGGAAGTGTGTGCTTGGATCCTGGTGCGTGGCTGACACACCCACTCCTAATGGCCGTGCGTGTTGGCAGCCCTGGGGCGCAGAAGCCCTCAGGCCACGCTCCAGCCCGGGGTCCCTGCAGCTGAGAGGGAGGACTGCACAGACCTGAGAGCTGCTCTGTTAGTCTAGCAGATAACAGACCTGAGAGCTGCTCTGGGACTAAGGATAAGCCAGGGTTTGACAAATGAGGACACGTGCACAGCAGCAGAGATCCCTTACTTGTGCCAAAGTGTGCCAAATGCAAATGCTTCCCTTTCATAAAAGCTGTTTGCATCATTGAAAGCTCTGTTATTGTGATTTTCTAAGACAAAAAATGTAAATGTGTGCATTGTTTTTCTAAACGAAATCCTCAATATTCAGGTCTAATTGGTGATAAACGCGTGGGCTTTGGGCTGCACTTCAAGCAGTTATCCCTGAGAGGTTCGCAGGTGCTGGGCTGCAGTCTCAACCAGGGGGTTTCCTCCTGCAGTGGTCTTCACACTGTGACATCTCGGCTGCCTTCTGTACTCTATTCGCACACCTCAGCCCTTTGATCTGTTATGCTTTCTGTTAAGAACTGTTAGGGATATGAATTGCCTAGCTCTCCTTTCTCTTCAGGCTGCCTAATTAAAAATGGGAAACAGACCAAATACCCACCTCTTGGTAGGTGACGGGGAGAAACTGACACAGCCATCCAGGGAAGGAGTGTGTGGCCGGTTAGAAAGATGTTATTGCGGAAAGGTTTAGGATACTAGTTAAGAGAAAATATGAATAAAATGATAGAGGCTGGGACATAGCCCAGTGGTAGAGTGCATGCCTGGCACGTGAGAGGGCCTTGGTGCATGCCAGGGTGGGGAAGTATCAGCTCTGTCCCTCCCTGCTCAGATGGTACTGACTAAGGCAAGGGCTGATCGTGGGTAGGGTAGTCATCACGCGGTGTCTGAAGTGAGCAGGTGCTCAGGTCCCATGTATAAACTGGGATGCAATAAAATGACGCAATATTCGCATACAACCTAGCCATAGCTCCTGTATATTTTTTTGGCGGTACCAGGAGTTGAACTCAGGAACTTGTGCTTACCAGACAAGCACTTATTCCACTGAGCTATCTCCCTGGCCCTAGGTCCTGTATACTTTAAATCACCAATCAATGTTTAAAAATCTCTAGAGTCCTTACAAGACCTAATACAGTGGGAGTGCTATATAAGTAGTTGTTATAGTGTATTACTTAAAGAATAGTGGCAGGGAAAAGTCTTAGTATGCTTGGTATAGGTGCAGTTTTGTTTGTGTTTTGGAATATTTGATCAGCAGGTGCCTGTCCTGTGGATCCAGGAGTGGGTGGAGGGGGGCGCTGTGCCCCATGCTGATGTGAGACGGGTTGTACATTCCACTGTGATAAGTAGCGTCTGGGTGCCACTCCTTTGGCGTGCTGAGTAGCAGACTAGTCTCCCGGGATGGAAATGGAAATAGTGGCTCCTCTCAGTGGTGGGCAAATTGATCGGAAAGGCCAAGGGGATCCTTCTGGGTGGTGGATTTGTTGTAGTTTGGGGTGTGAGTCACACTGGGGTGCACATTAATCAAACTCATGGATGTGTGCTTATGATGCGTGTGTGAATTACACTTCAATAAAAAGTTAAAAATGCCAACAAATGAATGTTTAATGACAGGAGTGGCTATTGATGGGAACAATCATGAAGTCAAAGAAAGACACATCCAGCTTGTCAAGAAAAAAGGCAAAGTGAAGGCTTTGGATGAAGAACTTTACAGTAAGTGGAAAACGCTTCTCATTGGCACAACTGGTGCAGAATGAGCCATTCAAAAGCATTTTCCTCCAACACCATTTGCCCCTGAAAATAGGGGCTTGATCGAAGCTTGGATAAATAGCAGGAGGGTTAAACCCTCGTTGTAAAACTGTTTCACTGAGTGAGGGGTGGCTTATTTTAAGTAGTGGCACATGAGGGCCAGCCAACCAGCTCAGCGGATTAAAGCACCTATAAGCAGGTGCAGGGGCCAGGGGTTCAATCCCTACACCTGCCACGAGACAGCAATTGAGACTGGGTATGGTGGTGCGCCCCTATAATCCCAGCACTTGGGAGGCTGTAAACAGACGGATCACTATGAGTCTGATCTAGTAGTGAGACCCTGAACACCCTGTAGACCCTTCCCTAAAAATAAAAAGCAGTGGCACATGGACAACTTTTTAAAACATTTTAATTATTGCATATTTATTTTAATTTTTTTGGCAAGTAACACTGCTTTTCTTTTGTTCTTTTTTCCCCTCTTTGATGCCAGTGATCAGACCTAGGATCTTGTGCAAGCTTGGCAAGCTCTCTTGCAACTGAACTGTGTGTCCAGCCACATTTTCTTTTTACAGGCAGTTTATTTTGATTAAGAAATAAGTTGTGCTGCTGATAAGAACTCAGTTAGTGGAACTGGGGAGATGGCTCAGTAGAATAAGCACTTCCCTGGCAAGTGCAAGGGCCTGAGTTCAATCCCCAATTCCGACAAAAAACAAAAAACAAAAAAATCTCAGTAAGCTTTAGCACAAGTGTGTCACAGTTCCCCTGGGGAGACACGTGTGGCTGATGATGCAGTTGGCATAGCGACATGCCTTGATGTAATGAAGTGATTTTATCTTAAGAGTTTTGTATCCGTATTCATTTTAAAGGGCAACAAACTGATTTTCTCTCCTTTAGAACAAGACAGTATGGACCTAAAGGTGGAGTTTGAGACACACTTTGGCATTGCCCACACACGCTGGGCCACCCATGGCGTCCCCAGTGCTGTCAACAGCCACCCACAGCGCTCAGACAAGGGCAACGGTATGTAGTTGTCCTGCATCTGTCCCTGCAGGTTCTGCCTCACCCAGACTACATGTAGGGATATCCCAAGCCAGAGTGGCTCCTGCCCACCTCTTCTACCTACCCTGCCCTTCTGAGATCATCTAGGCATCCACTCTCCTAAAGCCCTGGGCCTCAGTCAGGTGCAAATTCAACCTGGCCCTGGGGTGCTGCTGACCGACCTATGCCCACAGGAATAGGAGACCTTCCCATGAAGACTGCTGGGCCTTCAGAACCCAGTCTGAGGGGAATATGTCTGTGTACTAGACCATTTCCCACTGCAGTACTGAATGGCGATGCTGTGTATTGTACAGAGAGGAAAGCCTTATGTAGGGTGCAGTCATGGCCAGGTAAGCCCATCTGTGTGCTCTAACCAGGACCTTGGCTTCATCACAGCACGGTTGAAAGGTGGAAATTGGCTGAACCGCAAAGGGATCAGGCATGTGGGGTAGCCCTGCCTTATAACCCAAACTCTCACCAGAACTAACAGGGGCCCCCAAGAACTGCATCCATTTCTTCTGTGAGCACAGCTCCAAAAAACTCCCTCTCTGTCAAAGCACCACCCTGTAGAGACCAGTGCTCCAACCCCACGAGGAGCAGTGGAAGCGGGTCCAAGCACAGCAGGTGGCAGGACAGGCTGAAGAGCCTGGCAGGCCCTGTAGTGCCGAGGACTTGGCCAGATCCTAAGTCAGGGAGAAAGTGCAGCACCCTGGAGCAAACGGTGCTCAGACCAAGCACCCTGTGAGGTTGCAGCTGCAGTTCCAGCCCCCCTCCTTCTGTCTAGGGCTACAGTGAACCTCCTCAGAGACCCCCGCCACCCTTCAGTGCAGACAGTGACTCCTCAGAGACCCCCGCCACCCT